ACGTGCGTTAATAAACAAAAACAAGCCCTCATTGAATGAAATGTTAAATCTATTTGATTTTGAGGCTGTTGCTCAGCAAATTTTAAAACCTGAAGCATGGGCTTATTACAGTTCAGGGGCTGATGATGAAATCACTTTAAGAGAAAATCACAATGCCTTTCATCGTATCTGGATAAAACCAAGAGTTATGAGGAATGTATCGGATATTAGCACCAGTACAACATTACTGGGTTATTATTCATCATTTCCTTTATACATTAGTGCTACTGCATTAGGTAAATTAGGCCACCCTGAAGGTGAAGTGGTTTTAACCAAAGCATCACACACACACAAAATTATTCAAATGTTACCTACACTAGCATCATGTTCTTTAGATGAAATGACAAATGCAAGAGGTGAAGGACAAATACAATTTTTTCAATTATATGTTAATAGTGACAGAAATATTACAAAGAATGTTGTTAAGATTGCAGAAGAAAAAGGTTGTAAAGCATTATTTATAACTGTTGATGCACCTCAATTGGGACGTAGAGAGAAGGACATGAGAGTTAAATTTGTGGATTCGCCACCAGATTTACAAGGTGAAAATAATTTAAACCGTGATCAAGGTGCTGCTAGAGCAATTTCCTCATTTATTGATCCATCATTAAATTGGGATGATTTGGAGTGGTTTAAATCAATCACATCTATGCCAATCATGCTCAAAGGCATACAAACAGCTGAAGATGCTATCCTAGCAGCTAAATACGGATGTGCTGGTATTGTATTATCAAATCACGGTGGCAGGCAGCTTGATTTTGCTAGATCAGGAATAGAAATTCTACCTGAAGTTGTTCAAGCACTCAAAAAAGAAAATTTATTTGATAAAATCGAAATTTATGTTGATGGAGGTATCAGACGTGGCACAGATATTTTCAAAGCAATAGCTTTAGGCGCGAAAGCTGTTGGTATTGGTAGACCTATGTTGTATGCTATGTCATCTTATGGTCAACCAGGTGTTGAAAGAGCATTGAGGTTATTAAGAGATGAACTTGAAATGACGATGAGATTAGCTGGTGTAACATCCTTGAAAGAAATTACACCTGATTTTGTTGACATTAAAAATTTAAATGACCATATTTTTGTTCCTAAAGATTATCTTTTTTCAAATGTTTATGATAAACCTTTTCCAAGAAGAAGTAAATTATAAATCATTCATTCATTTACAAATGTATTAAAAAACTATGTAAAATTATGTGTAATTTATTTTTATATATAAGTATTTAATAAATATAAAAAATTAGGCCATCAAATCTTGGGAGGTCATTTTTTAAAGATTTTCTGAATATATATTCACCATTAATCATCAAAATCACTCACTATCAAAATTGAAATATCATGTGATCATGTCAGATTTTTTTAAAAAAATACCATCACTCACTCACTCAGCTTTATCTTTGAGTGACTCTTAAACATACCGCCTGATACATTAAAACACCTTTTTAATAGAAGATAATTATATTTCTATCCAATCAAGAGTGGGTTTAGTGCACCAGGGGTGGTGTGGTAAGATTTTGAAACATGCGACCAAACTAGTAATGATATATCAATATACACTATAAACACTTTTGAACAAAAATGCACACAATAAAAACATAAATAAGTTAGATCATTTTGTAGCTTAGGTTCTCAAAATTTTACATGCAAAATTTGAATTTCTATCACCACTAGGAAAATATGACAAAAAAAATTTAATTATTTTTGGCCGAAATTTAATTATCAGTATTAGTATTAGTACTAGTTAATAAAAATGTGAAATTTTGCACATATAATTTGGTATACACTAACATGTAGTAATAAAGTTCTTGCAAATTAAATTAACAAAATATAGCTCACCTCGAATAACAGCCTGAAGATATTTATTTTTTTCCAAAGACAACTAACGTTTTTTGCAAGCACGAATGAACCCTGTTAGGCTCCAGTACTCCTTGTTAGAGCAACTCACAACTTTTTCATTTGACTCACTGTTACAAACAGATCTATCCTCCAGGACTCAGTCCAAATACTTTGCATCCATTCAAATCAATATTCGATTATTCTTTATCATCAACTTTTTCCTGCAGACCAACTGATACTGAAAGACTATCAGTTTGTATGTAGTAAGCAAAGATTCGATTTTGGGTGGTGACTTTTGTTATCAAGAGCTTGATTTTGGAATAATGTCTGTTGCACTTTCAAGTGAATATATTGGATGCGGGTAGTAAGGTAAAGGATGTATTGTGGATGTGATGTAGAGAGTTTATCAATAATATTTGAAGGAAGGGAAGGGGATCTCGATTTTTCAAGTTGGTGGTGAAATGATTTATATTTTTAGAGATTAATCATTATGTGATTCTGACATGTTGCCGTGCAACAGAGGAGAGAAGTTGTTCTAACGATTTTTTATTTGTCCAATTCATTCCCCTCGAGGTTGATATTATGTGTAGAGGGTATCTCGAATGTTATTTATGATAGATTCTTTGGTGGTGTCGGGGTATTTTGGTATGTAGTTACGGCTTGGAAACATTGCCGCATATACTTGAAAGCACCAAGAGCCACGTGATAAAGTATTGTTTAGTTAGCCAACCAAGAGCCTTCAAAAACAATTCGGGTCATTCTTTTAACAGCACTTTGGATCGCAGGTTCAAGATCTTTATCTTTAAGAAATCTTTCTGTCCAGCTTTGACTGTGTATTGTTCGTATTTTGCGTCTTTTTCCTGGATGCATGACGTTTTTGAAATTTACAATTACTGCTTGAAAAACGTGAATTATCAGTTCCTTACAAGTTGGACAAGGGCGTTCTAGATATTTAAAAAAAAAAATTTTTTTAAAGTATAATTTCTAAAAAAATAGAGGCAGATAAATGGTAAATATTTGGTTTTTTTTGTTGATATAGTATATCTGTTTCTATATTAATTCGTGCTCCGTGAGACAACTGCAAAATTTTGCCGATCATTAGTAGAATTTTGTGGCGATAATAAATGAACAATGTTGGCAATTGGACTGGACCAAACAATAAATCAATTGGGAGTTCTCTAGCCAAAGGTACCTTATTATAAATAATAGTAATAATAAACTTTTTTGTTATGCAAATGTTTTGAACAAGTTAAACATCACAGTGAGTGAGTGGAATGATAAAACTGAGAATATGCAAGTTTTTTAATGACCATTGAAATAAATCAGTCACAAGTGAATAAAAAGGAACTTATAGAGAGAGAGACCTTTGAACTTTGTAAAAGGCCATCTTCATTTATTTACAATTATCTTATATGCTTACAGATTCTCTGAAGCTTTCTAGGTACAAGAAAGAGTCGATCAGTAAGCGAGAACCAAAGTAAATTTGCAAAACTAATTAATTGACAAGCACCAAATCATTGTGAATTAACCAACAAAAGTGACTCAAAAGTTAAGCCCATAGTAATGGTTGTTAAATAATCATAAATGATTGGTGTTAATGAAAAGGCTACCTTGCAATGGAATTATCAAAAGAGAAGGAGACTGTATTGTGATAAGTTTTTTTACAAAAAATAAAGTCACTCTCCTGGGATTCTGTTGACACCTGACCCACTTCATGAACTTTGCATTTTTTTAAAACTATATTAATATTACTTTTGAATATTTGTTTTGCACAATTCCAAGGATATTGTATTGAGCTTTTTCAAAAAATTTGTTGACCATCACAAATCTTGGGATTTGTTGCAATATAATCCTTCTGCCTCAATTGGGAAAAAATCATAATATTTAATATCTTATAAATAGCTAATACATTATTTTAGGCCTTTTGATGCCTATAAGCAATAACAAATTTTCACAATGGTATTAGATTAAATAAGCATCTACTTAAAGCAGCTGCATATATGATGTTTGCTCTGCTAGGAAACATCAAATTCATCAATAAATTGAGTTTTACCTTGTTAAGCCAGTATCAGGGATTCCACAACCCTGAGCACCTTAATCTGTACAATAATCATCAATTTTTCCTTATTCATATTAATTACTACATTGCTTGCATGGTTATGAAGTGCTAAGCATCTTGAAAAGATTCTTGTAGAATCACTACACTTCAACATCATAAATAATAATTCTATTAAAATAACCAGTAATAATTAAAGTAATAAAGCAACAAGCTTGGATTCCTTATTACGGCCAACTTGCTTAACAAGAGCTGATGCCATGATATGCTTTTTGACTATATAAATTTTTGTTTGGGGATACAAGTTAGTATGTCTTATAAGTTTATTTCTATTTCCAAGAAAGAATGATAGGACTAGAGAAGAAAGAAATTGATCTCATAACCCAATTTCAGGGGATTAAATTATTTATAAAGTTATTAATGATTGCATTGTGCAATTCCCACCACATATTAGATTTTCGATGCTGTTTGTTTGCATAGGGTCTGTTTATTATCACTTTTTTGATGTCGAAAACAGGGACATTGTTCAATGCTATTTGATGCCTCTAAAAATTTCCTGATGATGTTTAAAAAGTTGGTTGACACATTTTTCAGAAGTTTATAGTGATCAAATTATCTTAGGTGTTGTTGAACAGCCATCTATCTACATCTAATGAAAATATGGAAGGTGATGAAGAGTTAAATTGAATTGGATTAATTTTTTAATATAGTTAAAATTAAATTTATCATTTTTAAAGACTGCAGTCTTGGATTAAACCATTAGTCTTTTTCAGACCATTTTCAAAACTGACAGTTTGGTCCATTTTTAAATAAGACTGATATGGACTGGACTGGGCCAGACCATTTAACATCCCTTCTGTCTGATCACACTAAATAATCTACATGCACAAATAGCATAGAGAGCAACATTTTTGAAAAAAAATACAATTCTTATTATAAACATCAAAGAATTTATTTGTTTTCTTTTTTAAATAATAAATATAATATTATGATAAATGTGTGATACAACATAATAAAATATATATTTAATTATATTATTTCTCTTTCTCTTTCTCTCCAAGAATCTTCTTTAAGCATGCCAAACTCTTTTCACGATTTCAGTCATTCCCACATCAACTGTATTAATCTTGTAACAACCTATAAGCACCAACAACGTAGCACCTCTTAATCCCCAAGTAAATAATTTGTTAAGTTTTGGTGATCTACGAACTGGCAAATAATCTGTAATAATTGCATCAAATCCAATATGACAATGAATTGGTAGGATTATTCCTAGACAAAGATCTGTAATCGGATGTGCTCCATTTATAACTGAGGTGATTGTTAATGGAACTAATGATATCGATAAAAGTCTTTCGAAATCCCAGTGATATGACCCAGATACTTTATCTTTTGTTGGTAAAATTGCTGCATCATTAACAGATCCTTTAATATAACCTATATACATATACATGTATTAATTGACAATACAATAATGGTATTATTATGTAAACTAAGGTCTAAAATAAACTTACTGGCTCCATCTTTAGCAGATTTAGAATTTTGAAATAAATGAGTACGTCCTAATAATAGAAATTATCATCGATTTGATTTGATTTTAATCTTTTAATCTATTATAAGAGTTAATTAAATGCATAATTATTACCTGTATGAAAGGCAAAAACTCTAACCGGGGATGATAACACTTGAAAAGAATATTTAGAACGAAATAATTTAGGAGCCGTATGATTAATAAATCTTAAAGCCATCACTGAATTTTAAAAAAAAAAGTGTTTGTTGACGTTTGTGACACTATTTTTTTCGTGGAACAATAAAATCAAAATCAATATTTAATTTTGTGCAATTATAAAAAATTTTGAAAATTTTATTATCATTATCATTATTTAGTTTCATAAATTCTTTGATTTTTTTTTATGAGCAATAATTATCAACGATCCCACTCATAAAATGATCACAAAAATATCTTCCATCAGCACCATGACTTAAAGGTGACTACAACACTATAATTCGTGTTAATAATGGAGGATTAAATTTAAACCCAAAAAGAAAGCTCAAACTGAAAAAAATCATCATAAGGAACACATTTTAATTTGTCTTCATAAATAATTATGTAAACAGAAAGAATATACTAATCAATATTTCAGGTTCGCGTTAATATGACAATTTTCTCCTTTTTTATAAATATTTATCAATTACCACAAAATCTGGAAAGATAGCGCCTGTGACAAATAACAATTTATATGAAACTGTGATGATTGATATAATAAATTATGCGTGACAAAACATAAAATTACTAAAAAAAGCGATTCCATATGTATTGTGTTAATAAAAATAAGCTTGATTTAATATGAAAACATTGAACATAACATAATCAGAATTTATTATTATTATAACGGATGTCATTATAACGGGATAGATTTTATAATTTTTTTGGCAAATTATGTCCTTATACTCGTATAACGGGATATATAGTGAATGTCATTATAACGGGAGTAAATTTATATTTATAAAATTTGTTTTTGAAAAAATATCACTGTAACGAGATTGTCACTATAACGAGCTGTCATTATGACAGGAGTGATCTGTATAAGTGGGTTTGATCGAAGTAAGTGTTAAAGTTAAGATCTATGAAGCTTGCAATCTAGCTTTGCAAAATGAATGCTTATCAATTATTCAATAATTATATAGATGGGTTTAATCAAAGCAAGTGTTAAAGTCAAGATCTACGAAGCTTGCAATCCAGCTTTGCAAAATGAATGTATAGACATGTTCAAAGCATTTTTAGTAATAAACAAATGATCAATTCAAATTGTCAATTAATTAAATAATAAATTCAATTGTAAATGCATAATGCATTTCTTAATTAAACAAATAATCAATTCAATTGTCAATTAATTAAATGCACAGCACTTTGTTTTTTAGCATTTTTAGCAATACACAAATAATCAAATTCAATTGTCAATTAATTAATTAAACACATAATGCTTTTCTAAATCAATGGTATGATCCAAAAAAAAAAAGGACAAATGATAATTCATAAATAGTAAAATTTTTTTTGGCATTTTTAGTAATAGACAATCAATTCAATTGTCAATAAAGATAACATTTTTTCTTAAAAAGTAAACAAATCAATGGTACGATCAAAAAAAACAAATGATAATAGTAAAAATGTTTTTAGCATTTTTAATTACAATAAACAATTCAATTGTCAATTTAATTAATTAATAGAATGATGCTTTTCTTATAAAAGTAAAATAAACACGTTAACTAAATATTAAACGAAAAAAATGCTTTGCCACCACTAAAAAAGCATTTTTAGTAGCATATATGATAAAAAAACAAGAAACAATAGTGAGTTCAATTGTTGAAACTAGATAACTCCTCTTAAAATGTAAAATAAACAAAAATTTTTATTCTTACCAAATATCAGCATGGTGGAATTTTGTTTTATCACATTTGTCACTTTGTGACGATCTCAAAATTATACTGTGCAACGAAATAATTTTAAAATAAAATTCATATGCAAAGTCACGTTCTCAATAAACAAATTTTTTTTTCGTGATATAATTTTTAAATAAACTTTGCAACTAGTTATTAAATCAAGAGAGGAGCATGGTTAATTACGATCTAATCAAGATAACGTCAATATCCAAAAAGATTTACTAGAAGCGACTTAACTCACATAGTAGTTTTTACCTTTTCAAGAGATATCTTTTTATTTATTTTTTATTATTGCTTCTTTAAAAAACACTATATAATTAGATATGTTATTAAGAGAGTAGGAAGGTTAATTACGATCTCATCAAGATAACTTCAATACTCATGAAGCTTTATTAGTAACGTAGTTTCCTCTAAATATATAATTATTTTCTCTATTTATTAATTAAATATTTATTACAGATAAGTTCTACCAATTTTTTATTTCATTTTTTAAATTTAAAAACAAGTTATATATATGTTCTTCGTTTATATTAATTGAATTATCATCTTCATCACCATCCCCATCAGCTTCGTTAGTTTCATTATCTTCTGGTTCAACTACATTGTCAGATAATTTTTCTAATCGGGATACAAATGATGTAACGTTTTCAAAAACACCTCTTTTGTAAAATTCCATACAGTGTTCACAACTTTTTTCTAAATCTTCATAGCATCCATAATGATAACTATGACCACAAATCAACACACACCCATCGGTATCTGGAAAATTTGGACCAAATGCTTTTTCACAATGATCACACAGATCTTTTTTTGGTAGATGTGTTGTATGAAAGCCAGCAGGTAATAATTTTAAATCAACCTCTTCACCTAGAGTGCTTAATTTATAACTAATTAATTTTTTCCCTCTATAATGTGGCTTACTTGTATCCAAATTTTTATAAATGCCAAAAAAATATTCTATTAGAAAACAACTTGTCTTTTTAGTCAGATAATCTAATTGTGCTGGTGAATATGGATATTTTTTATTTTTGGAAAAAGCATCAACAAATGGTGATTTTTTATAAGAATCAATAAGAAAAGCTTCTTGTATTATTGACTCAGGTGATGAAAACTTATTGGTTTGTGCTCTTATTTTGCTATGTATATTCTCAACAAAATAATCATTAAAATTTACTAATGATTTCTCCAATAACTTTGCAAATGAGTGATTATTTTTTTTCCAATAAAAGTAGTCGGATAAAAATGCAAGAGGAATCTTATTATAATTTTTTCTTCTCCATCTCAAAAAAAACGTCCAGATACGGAAAATTGTCTCAAGATATTGCTCAAAAGCCCCAGATCGAAAAAGAATAGTGTATATATCTAAGGTTGCTGGTATAATATTATCTAATAGATCAATCATCATCCTATATTCAACATCTTTAGTTTTTTGAAATTTTTTTAATATATCCTCAGAAATTCCTAACCATGCATCATGAACTAATTGGAGAAGAAGATTAATTCGCCATGGTTTGGGCTTTTTTGCAAATTTTTTCTTTTCAAATACATCACAAAATAATTTCTTGAAGAAATCATAATATATAAGAACAACACATTCTCTCGAGTTCAAGGAAACATGTAATGGACCTAACATTGGAACAAAATTTTGTATCCAATCAATATCATTTATATTTAATTGATTATTTAAATATAATGTAATAGCCTTTCTAATAAAAAGCTGTCCTGGATAGTCTGCTATTACGGGTATTACATTTTTTTTTATATATTCTGATAAACTTTTTATGCTAGCTATCATTTTTATTGCTGACAAATAATCTTCCAAGGAACGAAGGCTTTGCTGCTTCACATTAATTATTTTCACTGATTCCATAGATCTTTCTTCTTTCTTTTCTTCAATATCTTCATTATACATATGGACTAATAAAAGCCCAATGCGATCAAATTTTTTATCATCAATCATTTTATCTTTAACCCATTGTATCTTCACAACATTATAACTTTTATCAAAAATTCCTCTATAATCATTAATAAGTTTTGAATTAATTAATGAATATTCAATATTATCTGGATTAAAAATAGGTACATTTTCAAAATTTGCAGGAACCACAGGAATATTTTCAATTTTTTTGACAACACATGTTGCCATATGTATTGCTGAAGATAATGATGTGGAATCAGGTCTTCTCCACTCATGAATTGAATGGTAATCATCAATATTAAAACAATGCATATATTGAATGTTGTAAAAAAAATACTCTTCTATTATTTTTTGATGATTTTCAGCAACTTTCTTTTTGTAAGTTTGGATTGTTTTATAACAAGCTGAGATATTTGCATTTGATAAGGTGTCGAGTGCAGCAGCACTAGTTCCATTTGCTTCCAAATAGAGTCCAAGGTCTAATTTAAAATTATTTACAAATTTATTTCTTATGCCAGCTAAAAGATAACAAAAGCCAACAATAGATTTTTTGGCAGACTCCTTATTTGAATGTGTGCGTCTTTCAGGAATTATTTTTTCTAATTCATCAAAAAATCCTTTCAATTTTGGTTCTTTTTCTTCAATTAATTTACAAAAGTTTATAGGGTCCAATTCCATTGTCTCATTTGATCCACGTTGTTGTTTGAGAAGTACATTTGTTAATAGTTCAATTTTATCTGAAAATGTCAAATTACTTTTTTCTAAGTTATTCTGGACTGTTAAAAAGATATTATTTGCATCAAACATGTTTTCAATTTCTTTATTTTTTTCTTCAATTTTCATTTCCAAATTTTCAATTTTTTGCATTAATAAACCAAAATCTTCTCTGGATAAAAGAACTCCATTTTCTGTGACATTAATCTTGATATTATTTGATGAATTTTCATTGACATTCAATTGCTTACGTTTATAATATGCTACATACTTCATGTAGTGATTAGCACAAAGTTGTTCATTTAATCTTAAATAATTTATGCTTTCATAGTCTTGGTGTTCTCTTATCTTTTTAAACGCATTGTCTGTTATAGTTCTGAAGTTAACATCTTCAGGATTTTTATCATTATTATCACAATTCTTGATTGCACAAGGACCAGAGTTTTTATTTCCACGCATCATTGTTAGAATTTAATCAGCAAATGTTTTGAAGGATTAAAATTTTATTTTTATTAAGTAGTATATAATATATAGTATAGTGATATTGAATAGTCAATGGTTAATAGTCAATGGTTAATAGTTAATAGTAAACGGTTATAATAATAGTTAATAGTGAATGCAGTTATAATAATAGTTAATAGTTAATAAGTCAATAAATTTTATTTTTAATTAAATTTTTATGGGATTTCTTTCTTATTTATAATTTTTTTAATACCAAAGTTGATAAATAAATAGACTTGAGAGTCAAATTAGAATTAAAAATAGTTCTTCCTTTTGGATATTATTATTAAAGAGCGAAACACGTAAAATTTTTGGTTTAGAGATCGGCCGAAATTTCTATTTTTAGCAGCGATCACACACCCGTTTTTGTCACATTTCACAACCAATCAAATCAAACTTCCACCATGCTCCAAATATCAAAGAAAAAGAATCACGTAGATCGATTTCAAAATTTTACCACCCAGTGAAAACAAAAAATTCCCTCCCAAAAAAATAGGTTTGAAAAATAAGGGTTTTCCTAATCATGTTTGCATTGCATTGCTTTGCAATTCAATTCAAAGCAATATATTTTTATAAAGCTGTCTGACAAATTTTTGCTAACTAAATATGGTGAAAACGTTGATTGTGCCAAAAACTGAAAAAACAGACACAGTTAGACGTAATAGTCGAATGATTTGTCACATTAAATGATTGGGAAGTGTATTTTCCGAAATTTTTTGGTGATCAACGTCGAAATTCTATTAATAAAATTAGCCACAAACCTTA